AAAATGACTGCATTGTGAAAGAATAATGTGTAAAGAAATTTGTCTAAAATTAATTTTTAATATTTTTTATATTATTTACAGTCATATAACAAGTTATTAGTAAATGTTAACGATAAAAAAAATTTAATTCACTTGGGAAAAAAAATAATTTATGCATTATTATTTGTACATTTGCCCAAAAGCAGTCAAAATGACTTCCTTGGACAATCTAGTGTTAACTATCGATTCAAGTAATAAACTAATTTCTTATTATACTATATTTACGAGACTTGTCGTGATTAAAAATTTAATACAAACTGCAGGAACCTGTTCTGTTAGCAATATTAGAATATCAATTTGAATAGATTCATCGTGTAGATGAATTTTCGTGACACGAAGGATATCGCGTTACACCGCGGAATTTCCGGAGTTTACGAGGTTAGCGGAAACTTTATGAAAGCGAATCGCGAAGCCTAGCAAGGTTTTCATCTCGTTTCGTATAAAGTTCATCGGGTTTTAGCTGTTGGCACGCGATCACTTACAATTAGAGCAAACTAGGCGCGCGCGTTCACACGGGAATGTGAGAAGACGCAGCGTGTAGTTTTATCATTAGAAAACTGATCTCTGAAGAAACGCAGTAAAACTGCAGTTTTTTATGCAGAGCCAAGCATTCATATCAATTTAAAAAAAATGATTTAAACAGAAATTATGTAAATAAATTAAAAGCATTTTTTAATGACATATCAATTAATTATTTCTCATTAATTTATCTTGTATATTTAGAATGACGAGATGCATCTGCAGATGAAATTCTACACACCTCTAAGCGTAACGTGTCCGTTTCTCAACGGCGAGGAGACTGTCGTCCTCTCGTTTCTCCTTTCCGTCCTCTCGTCCTCCCTTTTCTCACGGCCTTCGAGCAACGCGATCCTGCGCAGTGCATCCGCAAGGGTGGCTCGGAGACAAACTATCTCGTCCCTTTGGGCCAGAGACTGCCTCTCGAGGTCCGCTACTCGGCCTAATAGCGACCCCGTCTCGCACTCCAGCATCTCGTCTGTCAATACAATTTTTCACCCACGTTAATTATGTCAGTTCTAACAGCATTAAGCTAAAAATCTGAACGGGGTATCCCTTGATAAGATCTCAAAAAATAAAAAATGTTTCGTACAAAAGGTTGGATCTTTTAACGATGTCTACAACTCCTTCGCTAGCAGCAACAGGTAAGCAATTATTTGCAATAAACGATTTGCAATTTAAAGAAACCTCATATAAGTATTAGGATATTTCATACATTTTTTTTTTATACATTATATCCTCCTTCAATTTTTGTATCAATTAAAATCCGCAGTCTAATGATAGGAAATTATGGCAGCGTGCAAAGAGTGGCGAGCGTTAAATAAGAAATAAATAAAATAGATTCGCGAGAGACTTGAACCCTGGTCGGTTCTACACACACGCTGAATTATGTAATAAGACAATACACTCGGTCGCACATGCATAAATAATACTCACGCCACGCCTGCTCCGCCTCGTCGATGGTGTCCATCGTGTCCGGCGTGGACATTTCAACCCCACCGAGGTATTAATACGTTATTCAATTGAACCGATTAACCGACGCAAACATAAAGTGTACGCGTCGCTGTCTGCGTGCACCAGACATATTCTTCTCGACGCTAAATACGTATCACGTCCAGAACTCCACACGCGTGAATCCTTTCCGAGTTCATCTAACCAGTTAATTCGTTACACAACCAGTCCCACGCGTTGTCCATCGTTTCCTCGCACGATTTCGTACAAGTGGAGTCAATGGGACACTCACTGAAATTTTTTTCAGATAACCAGAACTGATCGACACATGCTTTTTATTTCACGCATGTGCGTCCCGTGTCAGCCGATAAATTTTATTATTTATTTTTAGCACGATTGTTTAGGCGACCACTTGGCGACAACCGCTGTGATATTAATAATCTGACGACTTGTTTTCGTCGACTCATCAATTCTGTATTTAATTTAAAAATCATTATACTTATCAGAAATTACGAACGATTCTCTCGCACAATCTTTATGCAAAGTTCGAAAGCGGGCTACATTAATTTTAATGCCAAGCTGAGTTTAAATTGAACTTTCTAACCGCGAAGCTCTGTGTTAATAAAACGAATGTAGCGAGATTATTCCGGATGGAAAACGCGATATAAAAGTACAGAAAAAAAAGTTATGAACTGGATTGGAAAAATGTGTTCGATCGGCTTGAACGAGCCGAGGGCTTTGCACCTTTCCCGACGAGTTTTCCCGGCGTGTGTGCGCACACACAATATTGTAACAGGGCTATAGAAGAAAGCTTTCGAGCGTTAACCCTTAACTTAACCCCCTGGAACACACGTAACTTATTGCTTGAAGCGACGCAGGGTGATGAGGATGAAAAAATGAGCAGACGAACATAAAATACTCTGATATATAATATTCTAATTTCGATATTCTAGTATTGAATAATTCAGTTCAATATCAATCTATGAATTTATTCATTATGCATATGTTGTATATTTAATATATGTATGT